GGCGGGTCAGGAGAGGTCTGCCACACCATGTGGTCACCTCCGGGGCAGGCTGGGCTCGAACTCATGCGGAAGTGGCTTTAGCTTCTTAGTGCTGCGCTTTAACCTGCTGCGCCACCAGGGAGGGCCCCACAGTTCCTTTTACAAAGGGTGGAAACTCCAGGACAAGTTTTGCAGGCTATGACTTGAGAGTTCAAATCTAGTTGTAGGGTCTGTGACTTACTTTAATACCATGCCCTCACATGTTAAATGTTGTCAACTCTACTTATCTGGTGGGGTGTCTAAGAGAATTAAACGAGTTTGCCTTGAAGCACTTAGTCTGGTGTGAGATGCTCTGTCAATGATGTTAACCTATAACCCTTGATTGGTACTCACCTTTCATTCTTTTTCCTCCCATTGTCTCCAAACATCTGAATTGTTCTAACAGGAAGAAAGTGAGTTTAACTCCAAATTCGATGTGTCGCTCTTTAACTGTGTTTTCTGGGCGCCAGTAGATCTAAATCCAATAAATGCCTTGGTTTGTGCCCTGGGATTTATACCTAAGCCAAGCGAAGCAGGGCACCAGATGGGGAGACTACTAAAAGTGGTCCCTTTCTGAGAGTAACCAAAAAAAGAATAAATCAGAGGCATAGCTCTCTGGCTTAGGAGGTAAGTCCACATAAAAAGCTAAATTATTTAAAGATTTAAGTAAGAATGGGAGATAAACATAGAAATCACTTCACCCTTACCCCTCTCTCATCCCTTATCCTCAGGTCTTTCTAAAAACTAAATCTGGTTAGATCACGTGTACCGAAAATATCCTCAAGCACCTATGTTACCCTCCACCCACCAGTTTTGTCCCTGAGCCCTCCCACCCCAGCTGGTAACCAACAATATTTATCTTCTTTGGTTTAGATCGTTAAAATACTCCAAGCTCAGGCTCCTCCTTTTCTTTCTTCCACGGAGAACTAATTATGGTCAGACTTCACTTGCTTACCAAAGACACTTTACTTTGGGGGTTTCTTTATCTCCTTTGTCTGCAAGCACACACAAAGAATAAATGCCTTGTCTCTATTTTGCAATGAACGATCTATAAAGAATTACCTACCCGGGGGCTTCTCTGGTGGCATACCTCTTAAATCTTAGTGCTCTCATGCTGTCAACGCTGAGGCCTGAGTTTGATCCCCAGCCAGGGAGCTGACCCACATATGATAGGAACAGCGGACCTCTCCTACCTCACCCATTGCTCCCCTCAGCAGTGTATTTCAGTCAGTCTGTCTGTTCTGTTCCCCACTCTGCCTCTGGTGAATGCTCTTATTCCCCCAACCTCTCGCCTGCACCCCAGTTCTTGTATGCATAAATGAATAAAAATCTTTTTAAAAAAATTAATTACCTGCCTTGTACTTGGTCAGCTAAATTTTGAGTTTTCTCCAGCAAGCAGCATGAGCCCTAGTATTCTATCAGGAAGTAAGTTCACAACGAATATGACAGTGAATGTCATTGGTTCATAACAATGAGTTTGCCTTCAACTTCACTTGGAAGTCTATGGGTTTTAAGATACTTTCAGGGGGAGGGTTAAACTGGGGAGCACCCTTGTCAAGTGGAATCAAGGAGGTATTCCACAGAGATTTGTGAACTGTTACACAGCTATTTAAAACATGGACTTTCCTGGCAAGAATCCAGACCAGCACTCTAGTAAATGACCCCCATGGGCAGCTAGAGAAAATACTAAAATATGTCTACCTAGTAGAAGAGAAAACAAAGCCAAAAACCTTAAATGATAGCAACGCGGACATTACATTATTCCTGAGCATCACATCTAAGCCACTTGGGTCTCCATTTTCTTTGCCATGCAAATGTGGTCTACCCTCAAACAATGTTTATCTACCAAAGCAATTTATACCATAGTGTAACACTTAAGGCAGACAGGAAAAAAGAGCCTGAGCGCAGAGTGCTTGTCTTCTCTCCTCAAATACCGATGGTCTGATTTTAAGTATTAAAAACCCTTTCTATTAATTTTTACCTGGTTAATTGCAAGTCATGGTTTTGATTGGACTCTTTTGTATTTAAATAGATGTATCTTAATATCATTCAACAGTCTTTACTATTGTTGCGTCATTTGATAGTTACAAGGGACGCAATAGTGTGAGACATAAGATGTTGCCCTCAATTTACAGACTAGAAAAGACAGACAGACTAGTAAACAGCAAATGCAGTATGCTTGATAAGTAACAGACCAGGAGTCACAATCACTCAAGTCCAGAGGGTTGGGAAGGGCTTCTTAGAAGTTGATCAGAATCAGGCAGCAGAATAGAATACAAAATGAATAACATAATAGTTTAGTGATTAGTGCTATCATAGGTTAGCCCTCAAAAGCGGAACATGAAGAAATGTAAAAAAGTGACAGTGACTATATTTATTCAATTAAAAAGACTATGCACTATTCTGATATGGCTACCATTCCTACTTGTAGGGTGTTAAAAGGTCATCTTTCCTCCCAAATGATAGTGATAATAGATGGTAATGTGATTTAAAAAACTCTTTGGCGAAATAAAAGATTTTCAACCTTGTACAGATCCCTACATTTTATTACTCTATGAAAGACAGTTCTTCCTCTTACCCTATAGACATGCTTATGTTTTTCTTTGCTTCTTTCTTCTTCTTTTTTTTTTTGTGGGGGTTAAAATACAGTATACAAAAAGTTTATAAGGCGCTCTGATTTATTAGTCCCAAGCAAACTGTCCTAGCAATAATTTGAACTGAGGGACAGGAACAGTAAATCCTCAGACCTTTGAAATTCTAGTTAGTTGTCCAGTAGTTATGTTTGAATTTAGTCATTAGGGAAATTTTTATGTTTCTTAGCATACTATACAGAGAGATTCAATGATTTGCCTGAAGTCACAGAACCCTGGGTTGGGATTGTAACTAGTTGGGACTTCACAACAACTAGTTTAACATAATCACAACAACATGACAAAGTACTTCTATAAATCAAAAACTGCAGAGAAATAATAGCTTGTATCTTGGATGAAAAGACCCTGACTAAATTTCTGGGAAAATGCTGCTGAACATATATTACTACGCAATTGAAAACCATTAGCAAATAACATTACACAATATCCAAGGTTTTTGGATTTGGACCAGTATTTCATTTTGGTATTTTTCCTGAATGATCCTTAGATCCTCTAGGTAAAAATAATTTGTTAAATTCATTTGTTTTTCTATTAAAAGAGTGATTTAAGCAGGAAACACACAATAAAAAATATTGTGGGTGGGAATATTGGGTTGGGAGTGCTATCAGAATATCTTGTTTTAGAACTATGATGACTTTAAGGATTTACTTCTGCTTTCCAATAGTGAGAGATTTCATGCTCCTAGAAAAGTAATTTTCATGGTTTTGATTTTAAGCCAAGTTCTATCTGTAGTTTCAGAAGGAGAAAAAAATACTTCCTTACTTTTGATGCATTTATTGAAAGAAAATTAATACCTCCACAAAAGGCAGTGCTTTTAGCAATATTGTCTTCAAGTACTTAAGTTATTTGACATGCAATTAACTATTGTACATGAATGAACAAATATCCTGTTATACTTTCAAACTCAGTTTTACATATTTCATGTAAACAAAACTTTTTCTCCTGCTTTATAGTTAGTTCTACTTTTACTTCATTTCTATATCCTTTGGCTCAGAATTTAAAAAAAAAAAAACCTCAAAGTAATGTGTTTTGCAATATTGATGATCAACTAAGCTCAGGGTATTTATTTCCATCTGGTGTAGTTCAACTTCTGCCTCTTGTTTGCTTTCTCCATCTGCCCGCCTCACCATCTTTTTTTCCCTCCTGCTTTTTTTCTCCTGGAGTTTTAGGTTAACCCTCTCTTAGGTCTAATCGTTTTAGCAGATTCATGCTTTCATACGTTATGGTTTTTTTTTTCAAAGTTTTGCAATAGTTTCAAATAAACTTTAATGTTCACACCTAGTCTGTTCACCAGTTTCAAATTCTATCTTTTAGTCTTCCTTCTATTTTACAAACAGCGATAGAACGGTATGGTTTAGATAGCATTTGGACCAGAAAAAAAATGTAAACAGCTTCTGGCTTTGTGTATAAACGGTGTAAGATGCATTATACACATTTTTTTCAATACGGACCAATTTTTTTTTTTTAACACAGGATCCACGTTTCTATATTTAGCTTCAAAAACTGGCTTTCCTAGCTGCATTAAGCAGGATTCAGTAAGGTCTCCAACTCTTCTCTCCTTTGACTCCCGGGGTTACTGAAACAGCAGCCACAAAAGGTTTACTACCCTTTTATTTTGCAATTGAACTTTCACAAAGACACCCTCCCCCAGTCTTCCCCCAGGGCAGAGCAGAGGCTCGTCGGTGGTGTAGGCAGCACCGCTTGGAGGAGACCCGGGTTCCCAGGGTCTGCAGAACGCCTCTTAGAGTCTGTTCCCGCTACTTCTAGCACCCCCACGGCGTGCCTCTCTGATCTACTACACCCGCACCCGCATCCCGCCGCCCCCCACGCTCCTCCTCCTTGGGGAGCTAGCCACGTAGACCCGGGCCAAGATGGGAGGTAAACACCGAATAGGCAAGGGGGCTGGCGCCGGGGACAGGCAGTCGATCCGAGCAGCCGGCCCGCGGATGGACCGCTGGAGAAAAGAGGCTTTTGTCTGCACAGCCCTAAGCCTCTTTGCAGGCGAGCCCGAGCAGCGCTCTCTTGCAGAGGATGCGCTGGCACAGGTCCCCAGTTGCAGAAGTAAGAGGGAGGAGCTTAGTCTGGGGGCGTGGCTTTCACACGCGCACCCTCGGTTTCCTTGGTCCCCCGCCACAGCTCCCCCCTCTGTCTCAGGCTGCCACTCGGGGTTTATTTGTTTACAAGCGGATTACGTCAGCTCCTCCTCTCTTCCCTGTGTCTGGACCCGCCCCCGGTCCCTTTTTCCCGCCCCCTCCGGCTCCGAATCTGCTGGCGTCACAATGGTGCGATCTCCGGATTGGCTGGAGTCGGCCGTCACGCTCCAGCTACGCCACTTCCTTTCCGCGGCGCTATAAAAAGTGCTGCACGGCGTCCGCATCTCTTCGACCCTCGGAGCTGAAATGCAACTGTTGGGACCTTCGGAGGCTGCGGAACTGGAGGCGGAGGCGGCTGGGGAGGTCCGAGCGATGTGACCAGGCCGCCGTCGCTCGTCTCTTCCTCTCTCCTGCCGCCTCCTGTCTCGAAAATAACTTTTTTACTATAAAGAAAGGAGAAAAAAAAGTAGCCGTCCGCCCCTCACGCCCTCTGTTCCTCTAAGCCCTCTGACCTGTGAGGGATCCCGGGGTGGCCCCTCCGCTGTCGGGGCCGCGCCGCCGAGCCCCGGCCGCCCCGGGCCGCCCCCGCCCGCCGCCCCCATGCATCCCTTCTACACCCGGGCCGCCACCATGATAGGCGAGATCGCTGCTGCCGTGTCCTTCATCTCCAAGTTCCTCCGTACCAAGGGTCTCACGAGCGAGCGACAGCTGCAGACCTTCAGCCAGAGTCTGCAGGAGCTCCTGGCAGGTGAGCCGGTCGCAACGGAGCGCGGGGCGGCGGGAGGATGCCGGGGGGACGCGGCAGCACACCCGCGGGTCGGAGCCGGGATCGGGCCGTCGGGGTCGCGGGATCCCCGGCAGCGCTCGAGTCCCGCCGCGGGACCGGAGCTGGCGCGCTGGGCGGCCGCTAACGGCGGGTCCCGATGAGTGTTTGGGGGCTGGGCCGAGGGCGCCCCCTCCCCCCGCGCCTGGCCCACGGAGGGGAGTAGAAAACAGACGCACAACAAAGAAACTAAAGCCCACCGAGGCGGGAGCCGCGGTCCGAGGACCGTCAGCAGATTTGGGGACAAAGGAGCCTCGGGGCTGGGGTGGGTTCGACGTCGCTTCCTACCCAAACCCCTTCAACCGTTGCGGGCTCGGCGGCCCAACCCGGGGTTGGGGAGCCGCGCCGCTGCCCCGAGCCAGCTCCGGACGGACGTGCCGTCTCTGCGCCTCCTACCTCTGCCTATTAATCATCGGATTTGTCACTGGTACAATTAAGCCCTGCCCAAAGCGTGGTTTAGGGTTGCTTGTTTTTCTTCCCTTTGGGGTTAACAGTCCGGTGGCGCTTCTCTCCTCCGGAGCCATAAACCCCATTGTGTGCGGCCGGGCTGGGGTGGAGAAAGTAAACAGGTTCCCGCCTGGCCGCCGGTGCCACCCGGCTGGCCCAGGTTGTGCCTGTGGTTCTTGTTTTGGCGCCTCAGGCAGTTGGTTCCTGGAGGCTGTTGTGTGCCCGGTCCCGTACTACTATCCTTTTCCAGAATCCTGCCCGCTCTTTCTCTGTCCCCGCGCTGGCAAAGCAATGAATGCAACGCCGGGCGTTTTAAAAAGTTGCTAGTTTTCGTTACCACTTCTCAAAGGCGCCAGCGGAAGAGGGAGACTGGAGGGGGGCGCTAACTGTAACGATCTAAGCATTGTTTCTTTGCCCTTCTTTTCTTCTATAGAACATTATAAACATCACTGGTTCCCAGAAAAGCCGTGCAAGGGATCAGGTTACCGTTGCATCCGCATCAACCATAAAATGGATCCTCTGATTGGACAGGCAGCACAGCGGATTGGACTGAGCAGTCAGGAGCTGTTCAGGCTTCTCCCAAGTGAACTCACACTCTGGGTTGATCCCTACGAAGTGTCCTACAGAATTGGAGAGGATGGCTCCATCTGTGTGCTGTATGAAGCCTCACCAGCAGGAGGTAGCACTCAAAACAGCACCAACGTGCAAATGGTAGACAGCAGAATCAGCTGTAAGGAGGAACTTCTCTTGGGCAGAACAAGCCCCTCCAAAAACTACAATATGATGACTGTATCAGGTTAAGATATAGTCTATGGATGGATCATCTTATAATGGATGGATAAATTTGATTTTTGCTTTGGGTGGGCTCCTCTTGGGGATGGATTATGGAATTTAAACCATGTCACAGCTGTGAAGATCTGGCACAAGATAGAGTGGTAAAAAAATTTTTTTAAGTGACAGTGCCATAGTTTGGACAGTACCTTTCAATAATTTAATAGCCTGTGAGTCCAAGTAAATGATCACTTTATTTGCTAGGGAGTGAAGTCCTAGGGTGGTTTCAGTTTCTCCCAGATGTTATACCTAAATTTTTTCATCAGTCCCTTTGGCGCAAATCTGTATTTCAAGGAACCTTTCTCTGCAGTAGATCTTGCAGAGGAAATTTGCACTATTACACTTGATAATTGTTAACCTTTTTGGCAGCTCAATAGGAAAGCTCAACATTTTAAACATGGTAGTACTGGAAAATTTATAACAAGACTTTTACCTAGCACTTAAATATGTATAAATGTACATAAGACAAACTAGTAAGCATGACCTGGGGAAATGGTCAGACCTTGTATTGTGTTTTTGGCCTTGAAAGTAGCAAGTGACCAGAATCTGCCATGGCAACAGGCTTTAAAAAGACCCTTAAAAAGACACTGTCTCAACTGTGGTGGTAGCACCAGCCAGCTCTCTGTACATTTGCTAGCTTGTAGTTTTCTAAGACTGAGTAAACTTCTTATTTTTAGAAAGTGGAGGTCTGGTTTGTAACTTTCCTTGTACTTAATTGGGTAAAAGTCTTTTCCACAAACCACCATCTATTTTGTGAACTTTGTTAGTCATCTTTTATTTGGTAAATTATGAACTGGTGTAAATTTGTACAGTTCATGTATATTGATTGTGGCAAAGTTGTACAGATTTCTATATTTTGGATGAGAAATTTTTCTTCTCTCTATAATAAATTGTTTCTTATCTTGGCATTTTAATCAATCTCTTGTCATGATTATAGAGGTTTAGTGAAAATATTTCTCAGAAGACAGTTTCTATAAGCTATGTGAATGTCAGTTGCACACTGGTCATGCTGAAAACATGGATAAGGAGTAAAGATGATCTGTCTATATACCTATGTAGCTGTTACAGAGGAAACACAGGGGTAACATTTTTTTAGGAGAAAAACCTATAAAATTAAAACATGGACACATACCCAGGCTAATCTCATGAAATGAGGATAAGAAACAAAGGTAACATCTATCAAAAAAAGGTGATACTCAAAGGATTACATTTCATTGCTTCTTTGTTGAAGTGAAGATGTAAATGTTCTATTTTCGCCCACCTTTGAAAAACGATTATTTTACCCCCTGGATTCCATGTTCAATTAGAAAATCCCGGGGCATATGTATGACCTGTAGTCTCACAGAACAGGCTAATTACTGCAGAGAGATTGGTTGCTTTTTGCTTTTCATCAGCTGCAAGATTTACATTAGAAATCACTTAAGCTGGAATTCCAACAAAAGGTATGTCTGAATTTTTATTCTCAAAAGTTGAAAGAATGTTTTTGATTCCACATTGTCATAAAATAAGTCATTCAGACTTATTTCTGAATAAATTCTAGGGACAGAAATGAACCAAATGAGCAATTTGCTGAAGTGTAGTTTACTCCTCCACCCCGTGCAGTACAAAGACTTGCTGGTAGTTCTTGGTTGTAGTGGAGAGTGTGGGATTATTTGGTGGAAATTGACAGATTTTTATTCTCTACAGTTTAGTAACAATATGTAGTGATTTGGTTTTGCAAGTAGACATGTTCACACTGGCATAAGCAGTCTAGGCTACTTGAAATCAGTAATTACATGAAATCAGTGATAAATTTGGGAATTACCTCTAACTATAGATATGAATTAGCCTGACTATAAACTATATGGGAAGACACAGCTAAACATGCAAGCATTTGGAATACAAGCGGTGCCTGTACTTCACTGGCAGAATGTCCTTGGGAGTTTCTAACCACAACACATGGACCACTGTTAGTAATTTATTGTGGTTTTGTTTTATTGGGTCTTCTAGATCCCCCCCCCCCACACCCTCCACCCCCAGATTATCAAGCTTGAACTTACAAAAATAAGAATTAAAGCAACTGGTAGTTAACCAGTTTTTACACAGGTCTCACCCCAGTACTGATTCCTTTTGTTTACCAAATGCATTTCATCTGGAAAACTCCCTTGAAGTTCCATAACTCATAAAGCTTTGCACATTGAATCATTTCGACCTAAAGCAACATTAAGGTTGATTTCTAGGCAGTTTTAGAATGCTATTGTTTTTACTAAGTGGGAATATATTTCGACACCTAAAACTTAAAACCTTTTCTCAGGAAGAATTGTTTTTGAAGATCTTCACATCAGATTTTTTTTGTTACTTTAAGAAAAATTTGGTAGGAAGAGAACTTTTAAAAAGAACATTTTATTTTAGAATGAAGGTGATGTTTGCCATGTAAGGAGCTGTGAAGTTCATCTTTTAAAAGACTTTCAGACGTCACTGAAAACTAGCATCCAGCTGTTTCCTGTGACTTTAGACCTCACATTCCCCCTGACAGTTGTCTACAGTGGCTGTTAGATATTTCTAGTTCATTGCTTCTGGGGAATGTTTTGCCTAGTTATTTTGATAAAAACATTTGAGTGTCTGCCCATTTGCAGATGTATGTATGTTTGGGGCTACTTATGTAGTTATTTACATCAATTGTGTACTTTCTAGTAGTGATAAAATTCAAAAGGCTTTCATATGCTTTTAAGAAATGATGACTGCTTTCAAATTAGTAGTTGCCATTGGCACCTGGAAATCATAGTTAACTGGCAATAAGTTTAGGAGTGTTACTTTGAATTTTCACAGTTTAAGTTATTTCCATTTCTCCAAATGTAAGTACTCTATATAATGGTAAAGCAAATGTATAGCAAGAATTTTCCTAGCTCAACTGAGAATCATGTTGCTGTTTTCCTCTGAAATCTGGAATGGGAATCATACGTCCTTACCCTTCATTTGCAGTATTTCTGTAATGGTAGACTGGAAAGTCCACCCAAAAAATTGCTTTCTGGTACTGTTGCACAAATGGCTTCCGTAAGTTACTATAACTCACATATTTCCATTTGGTTTTATTATAGGTATTATAGGTCTTGGAATTGGCCTTAAAGTTAAAAGAAAGCAGTATTCTTGACTCTACTAGTTTTTAATGACTGGAGGTTTCAGTCTCCCTTTAATCTTGGGAACAAATACATCTGCTGTTAGATTTTTTTTTTCCTATCGCTGATATTTTAACATTCTGATTCCTTTACTGAAAAGAAAGAAGACAGCTGAGCAGTATGGTGTATATTGAAGGCTAAAGATACTGTATTTTGCGTCTCTACTATCAGATAATGTATAAGATGCTACTGATGAGTTATGTGGGGAGAATTTGCCAGCTGTTTGATCTTTCAGAGAATTCAAAAAGGATTGGCTAAAATGGAATAGATTTCTTGTTTACCTGAAGGCGTGCAGTTTCCAGTTTAGTCTCATCTGTCTCTGCTGTTTAGTCTCATCTGTCTCTGCTGTTGTACTTACATATATAACTGCTGTACTAATACTCTTGTTTTTCATGGTTACAATGTTAACTTGAAAAAATACTTTGTAGTAAAATAGTTTATGTTTAAACTGACCCCTTTAGCTGAGTTCTTAAGGCATTTAAACAAATAGGTGAGAGGAATATAGACTTGAGGAATATTTTTATTATGAGCTATAATTTCTGATTATTGCTATAGATGTTCCTATTTTCTTCTGATGTTCATATTTTCTTCTGAGAATAGGATATGGTTAAAGAATGCTGTTAAAAAAGGTGTTAACTTGTATTTCTGAGATGCTCCTAAACATGTGAGACTTACATTCATGTTTAGTGAAGATTGACACCATTTCTTTTTCTTCAAGCATAATTGACACCAGATTTTTGAACTTCAGTTTTAATGTGGTTTACCCATCTCTTTTTGCATTACTCAGTGTTTCAAACAGGAGTAGGTAAATGGGTTCTAATTTAAAAAAATATCCTGTCTGTCATCACATAGGTGAATGATCTTACAGTGACCATTTTGAAGTTCAACTTATGACTTTTATATAAATCTAGTCATGATATTTAACATTTTCGTGTGAAGATGCAGTGTTCTCTTGGGGATTCTATGTAACTATAACAGATAATACTGAAGGATGAAGTGATTAAAGTCTAGGGTTGGATAAAAAAGAAAAGAATGGAAGAATGGAAAGCAGGAAACCTAACTGAGCTGGAGGAATTTAAAGGGTTGGTAGTAAAAAATGCATCTGCTGTCGCCATAGGTTTATCAAAAGAGGTTTGTTGGCAGAGACTTTGGGAAATACTACTGTAATTCATGGATCTGGGACAAAGTCTGCACTCAATTTGTGAACATGCAAGTCAAAGTGGTAGTAAGATTTACGGCCCGTACTAAGAGGAAATTGGGCTGGAAGGAGGAGGGCTGGGATGCATAGGGACCAGGACTCAAGGCAATTTAAAAAAAAAAAATAAAACAAAAACAGTGCTTAATGCTTTTTCAGTATTTTGGAACAGCAGAGTATTTTTTTTACACTATTACACATCACTTGGTGATTATAGCTTCATGAACCTTTTAAGTTTTGCTTTTTCAGTATTTTGGAACAGCAGAGTATTTTTTTTAAACTATTACACATCACTTGGTGATTATAGCTTCATGAACCTTTTAAGTTTTGAAGGCCATTTTTGACCTCTTTCCTGGTGAAAGAAGAATGATAAAGGACAGGCTGGACACCTAACATCACAATAGGGACCACCAGGCAGGAAAAAACCATGGGGTTAACTGCATTCCTGTATTTTAGAAAATGCTCTAGCAAACACTTACTTCAGATTGCAACATAACTGGAAGATGACCTGGGGGGCATTTGTTTTTAATGCACAGGATATGTGCAGTTATTTTGTGTTACCTCTTTAAAATAATTTTACATGCATTTTCATGTGTGTATGCAAAAAATACATGGTGCATTTTATAAATAAATACAATGGGAATAACTAAAAATTCTTGATGGCATGCCTGCTCCAAAATACTTAATGGTGTTTTTTTAGATTTTTTCTAAAGTAGTTTAGTGTTGGCTGGCCTAAGAATAACTCATTATTTTTTTAAATTAT